GGTCGGAGAAACGTGCCTGCCATGGACGGTCCTCCTCTACTTATCCATCTTACGTGGTAGATGTCATCTAAAATGTGCTAGAGTCTCATCATGCATGAACCTCATGTGCCTTCGTATTAGCAGGGGTACATCATCTAGTAGGTCTGTAAGTGTGTTCGAAATAAAGTCCATGTAGACAGCTCCTGTAAAGCGTTCGGGAAGAACATATGGACCTACCAGACAGTCACCTACAATTCCAGCACACACATTTATCATAAACTGATATTGTGGTCTAACATGTATTGTACCATGGGGATTCTGTTCCGCCCACAAATGTAAATTTGTCATTCCATCTCCTCTAAATGTTGACTCATCCGCAAACAAGACGGAATAGACAAACAACGGATTGGCAGTTTGTGCTATAAGCCACCGACAAACGTTCTCCTGTGGTGAGTGATCAAAGGGCGTGAGTTCGACCTTCATTAGATGTTACATCCTTTCGGTCTTGTGCCACATCTAAGCTACACTTAGATAATCATTTGAACACATAGACGTTGTGTAAAGGTTAGCAAACTTGTCTCGATAGAACCATTACAACTGAGTAGTCAGGTCGATCCTCACTGGGCACCGCATACTTTCGGCCGTGTGCCACATCTAAGCTATGATTAGAAAATCACCATGATGATGGAAAGGGCAGTTCATGTCGGCATACACTCCTGATCAAAAATTTAAGATCAGTTGAAATTTGTTTTAAATACACTGTTTTTTATGGAAAAATTTTAAACATTTCTTTAGTTAGTAATTTTATAATCTAAAAGGTTATGTAGACATAAAGTTATAATCCGAACATTTTATTGAGAAATTGACATTTTAAAAAAAAATGAGGCGTTTTACACTTGATCAAAATAATAAGACCAGGGGTATAAATTGTTAGATATAGGTAATTAATTATATATATATATATATATATATATATATATATATATATATATATATATATATATATATATATCAATTCTAAAATTAATTTCATTGTCATTTATAACTAACATTTGGTACATCTATGGGGAAGTGTGCTAGATATAAACATCATGGACATAGAAATCAACACTGCATCGTGACTTTCAGTTTCGTGCCTGTAGTGATAGACAGAACATCAGTTACTGATATATTTCTCGCCAATTAAATCATTAACCTTTGTATGAATAATATATATATATATATATATATATATATATATATATATATATATATATATATATATATATATATATATATATATATATATATATATATATATATATATATATATATATATATATATATATATATATATATATATATATATATATATGCGCACTGGGATTATGTAGCTATGTATCGGCCCTGAGGGACGCACGTTCAAATCCTGCCGGAGTATGCAAATGTTTGTTTATAAATTTCTAGAACATTCAGGCCGGTAGGCAAAAATATAAATATTTTATAATAAATAAACGGAGCACCTACTCAAATAAGAGTATGCACTTAAAAATAACGTTGAAGGGTTAAAAATCCGTCGGATTCATAAAAAATCGAATATAATTCCTCTGTTCACTGCTAGATGGATTAAAATGAAATCTATTAAAATACACAGTTAGTTTTCCTTTTCCCAATTTGGATTATTTCTCCGACATCATTTCCGGTTTTCTCTCTTCACTCGACTTATTTACTAACATTCTCCTTACACGATATACGCGTCCCTTTTATGATTTTCCTTTCCTATTCATCTGTCTTAGTTGCTTGATTCTCGTCTCAGATTTCATTTTTCATTTAATCCATCCTCTTATATTTTTATCCACTCTAAAACTAATTTTACTGTCATATAACCTATGATCTCATCTTCGGTTTCAGAGGATTTGCCACTTTGCATGAAGGTGTCAAATTATTTGCTTTATTTACCTTTTCTTTTTCCCTATCCAGTCTTTCTATGTTTATTTAGGGAGATACAATCAGGTGTTACGAATAAGGATATTTAAACTACTATACTATCTATATACACAGCAGTTAAATAGATAGATAGATAGATAGATAGATAGATAGATAGATAGATAGATAGATAGGGCACCTTACTGATAGGTTCGTATGAAGCTTTTATCACAATCCATTATAAGTGTAGCTAGTTTGATCCACATCGAATATTCCGTATTGTGGCTTTGGACCGTACTAACATAAGATCTATTGCTGTTGCGTTGTATTCAGAAAATTCATCTCTAAACCTAGTTGGAAGAAAAGAGAATTAGATCATCTTTCTATGTTTCACTTTGTACCTCCCGCTCGGATAGATAGATAGATAGATAGATAGATAGATAGATAGATAGATAGATAGATAGATAGATAGAAAATTTTTAACGCAGTAGTCTCTTCCTCTACTGCTGTTAAAATGAATAGTAATGGCCCTTCTTGTGGTTAGTTTTGTGCCAGTATAAGTTAAAAATTCCAGCTCGCTGCTTTTCCATAAAATGTCTTCCGATATCTGACAAATATCTTTATTTAGAAGGTATTTTAATTCTCCACCTTGCAAAGAGAATGCATAATTTAACACACATTTAAATGCATCTGTAACCGATTTAGTCTGGATCATCTCCTGAGATACTCTTCTCTTATCTGTCTGAAGGAATAGTTAAAGAAAATAATATCGTACATTTCGTTTACTAAAGCGCCCTGGCATAACTTGTGTTCCATCAGTCCGCAAACCAGCGAGAAATAAGTTGATGTGATTCGAAAGAAGTAATCTGAACTTTTGGTTGACCTTCAATAGAAGGAGGAAAAATTTAATATAAGCTGTTTCCACGTTTCTGTCTCCAGCTCTTTCTTTCTTTCTTTCTTTCTTTCTTTTTCTTTCTTTCTTTCTTTCTCTCTCTCTCTCTCTCTCTCTATATATATATATATATATATATATATATATATATATATATATATATATATGGTTTCATTTGTCTATCACTATTCAAGTATAAGTTTCATCATATTTCAGTCAGTTAAGGTTTTAATGTTAATAAGATTTAGTCATGTTTGTTCTGTGCTTGATCAAAAATTAGATATGTTCCAGGTTAGATCAAGAATTAGGTGTTTGTTTGAAATTTTATTAAGAATTAGGCATGTTTGTTCGATATTATATCAAGAATTAGGCACGTTTGTTCGAGCTTAGATAAAAAAATTAGAAGAGTTAGGCGAGGGTATATCAAGAAATAATGTTTTCTGAAGATATATGAAGAATTAGCCATGTTTTTCTAAAGATATATTAAGGCATGTTTGTTTAAGTATAAATCAAGAATTAAACATATTTAGCCAAGATTAGATCAAGAATTTGTATAGTTTGTTCGAGATTAGATCCAGAATTAGACATGTGAATCATGATGAAGCAATGAATTAAATCTATTCGCGGTAATGTAGCTGTCCCACAGGGCTCTATCCTTGGACGTACATTGTTTCACAACTTCATCAACGACCTTCGAGATGTCATCAGTTTGTAAGGAGGTATTCATGCTGGTGATACAACTATTTACCCCTTAACAGTATATCTGACAAAGTAAAAATAGTATCTGCTCTCGAAAATGAACTCTAACCGGTTGTTAGTTAGGGCTAGAAATGGCTTGTAAATTTCAAGGCCTCCAAAACGAAACTGCTATCTTTAATCATCATAGAGAATCATATTTGCCCTCCGTCAGCATGTTAACATCCAGGATTGCAACACTTTGCGTCTTCTTGTATTCACGTTTTGTTTTGTTTTTACTGATATAAAGTGGAGTGATTATATTGACGTAATTACTAGATCTTCTGCTAAGAAGATTTATTCACTGTGTCGTGCAAGACAATCTTTCTCATCGGAATCCATCTTTCACATTTATACATCAGCTTTTCTTTCATTCATATATTTATGTCATATCTGGTTTGGTGCCCCAGCTGTTTACAATGTTGTCCAAAATCTTAAAGCCAATGAAAATAAAGAAAATATACATTTTGCGTTCTTAGATTCAACTACTTATTTGAGGATGAAAATAAGAAAAGGAAAATTAAAAAAGAAAAACTTGTTTAGCATTTGATAAGGACAATATTAATACGAGGAAATATTTTCATTGTTCTAATAAGCTTTCGTTCTTAACATCCCGACGGCGTGAATTTAAACGTACTACTAGACTAGCAACTCGGTTACATTGTTTTACTGCTGAAATAGCCAGATGTAATCGTAAATTCTATTCAAATAGTTTCTTTCTCGCATATCTCACCTCTGCAACTCTCTACCGATTTCTTGCTTCCTTATCACTTACAATCTTCAAAAATTAAAATGCAACGTCAATCGCCATCTGCTGTCTTCCTGAACTCTGTTTCTTTCTCTTTGTCTTTTACTCCTAGTAACTTCTTGCGTCTTAGTGACATTAGCGCCTTGCTTGAATTTAAATCATTTAAAAAATCTTGAAAAATAAAAATCTCTTGTGTGGCATAAATATTTTTTTCATCAATCGACTCTTGTTTTCTTGATATACCTACATGTCTACATATGTATTTCTCGACCTATTCTCTGTCTACCAACTTGACTGTCTATCTGGTTGTTCACATTTGTCTTCGTCTAACCACGCAATTAAATGTCTGTCTCGATCTGTGCCGCTAATCGTTCTGTGACTCTGTATACAATGCCTGGTTGAAACACATGAGTACGAGTTTTTTTCTTTTTTTTTTTTTTTTTTTTTGGTGGGGTTGTTTTTCTTGTTTTGTTTTTTTGTTTTTTTAGGTGGGGGTCAAATCGGTATTCGATTTTGTAAAGCTATATTCCAAGAAGCAAATTTCTCAAAAAACTTGTCAGCACACTGTCGAAAGAATTTAGTGTCAAACCATCTCTCAACTGCCATAATAGCTACTACAAGTAAGTAAATTTTCCCTTAGACCCCCGGTGTGTTTTTCCTTCAATTTTAAACCATTGTAAAGTACTGTGCGTTCTCCGATGAGCTGTTTTTTCAGCTTTCTTGTTTTTCTAGTCTTTAGAAAACCGGTTCTAGCACGATCACCCAAGTTAAGCAACGTTGAGCCTAGTTAGTACCTAGATGGGTAACCGCTTGGGAATACCAGGTGATTCAATATTAGACGTACAGGTGCTATAATGAATAATGGAGTCCCAATTGCCGCCAAATTCATTATATTCACTTACGCACAAAAACCTTTGGGAAAAGTATGAATCCAATTCTTCTACATCGATGGGTTAATTAGTAAGACCTTTATGACGAAATCGTTATTTTCTCCCCCTCCTAAAATATCTTACAATCTAATGATATTTTAAATAACTTGAAAAGGGTTTATAAACCGTACAAAAGGAAACAATCAATCAAGCTAGTGTTTAGAAATCTACGCAAACAAGAAAACTTCAGATATTTTTGTTTAATCAAACCAGTATTAAGAACGCACATCTGCCTCAATACACTTGTCTATATATATATATATATATATATATATATATATATATATATATATATATATATATATATATATACCCAAGTATATAATTGGTATATACGGAATGAATTCTAATAACCAATAATTACTATTCTTAAAAGAGTGCTCAATACAAAGTAGAGCAGATATAATTATTTTTTATAAAAAAAAAAAAAAATTATAACATAAATATGTTATAAAATAACTACAAAAATAGCCATTTTTTCAACACCCTGGGTGTCTTATCAATTGATGAAGTTGAATATATATACGCGGAGTAATAGATAGCGGCTTGGATTGAGGAATCGGAGAGTCGAGTTCGAATTCCTGTTGAATCCATTACATTCACTTGTCTTCCAATACCCTTGGGAAAGTTGTGAATCCTCTTCTTCTCCCCCCAGTAAATAGCAGGACAAACTGGTTTAGGAGAAGGGCAACTCTGAGGGTCGTAGTGCACCAAATCTCTGCAATCGGCCCTTCAAAAAGTGTGGATGCTTCTGCACAATACCTTCACCACTATAATCAACTCTGGTGTCGTGCTGTCAGTTACCTAGGAACTGATGTGCTTGTCCCATTCGACAGGAGAGTATATATATATATATATATATATATATATATATATATATATATACACACACAGAAATAAAAGTTTTCTAGGGAAATTAAAGCTCAATCACCTCTAATCAGAATAACAGCTCAAAATATGAAGATTGTCTGCGCTTATAAATTAAGTAAATTTCTTTGAAGGTTATTCCTAACATCGCTTGAAAATGGAACGAAACTCCGAATTTTAAGTTTAATTTTTATTATTAAAATTACAACTTCAGTTTCAGTTTTGAAACATAGAAATTTCTGTGTCACGATGGGATCATATTTTTTTAAAGAAAAGAAAATATTTATAATATTATACTCTACTGTTTGTATCGAGAACTGTTTTTTTTTAAATAAAAATAATTGCTAAGAAAACCGGATTATAATTCTTACTGCTCTTTCTTATTATTTCAATATATATATATATATATATATATATATATATATATTGTCATCCACAGACTATTTCGCTGTGATATATATATATATATATATTGTTTTTATTATTTCTAGCTTAGCAATTACGCGTTTTTCCAATTTTCCTTCGAGAAGTTTTTTAGTTTTTCTGTTTTATATATTTCTCTATAATTATGATTCATCTTTCATCACTTGCTCTTTCGGTTTGTAAAAGTGATGCAATATTTTCTTTATGAATTTTCAAACAAATATCTGCGGGTTTGATTTATTCGGAAAAAGATATTAGAATACTTCAGAAGATTCCCCTGGAATAAACCGCCTGCTTACGGATAGAAAATGTATTGAGCAAGTAAAAATAGAATAGGGGACAAAACAAGGATTTATTTAACCTTTACATTGTATTTATTTACAGTTCCTATGAGAACTTACCAGGAATTAATATTGGTAGACATAATCTTAACACCATAAGAAAGACTGATGACACTGTGCTGATGGCATACACAGAAAGAAAACTGCGGATATTTCTAGACAAGGCAGTAAAAGAAAGCAGGAACCAAGGACTAACTATTAATTGTAAAGGCACAGAATGTAGGGCCATTATGAATAGGGATAGCCCAAATTGAAAACTTCAAAATCAAGCACAGAAATACAACAATTGCCCTGGAATAATAAATAATAATCTAAATAAAATATGAAGAAAAAACAAAGAAAAGTCTGTTGAACTGTTAAGTAATATAAATCCTGTTATATCGTAATTAATGTTGTGCGCTATCTATTACTCCGCCGTATATATATTCAACTTCATCAGAGATGATGAGGAGATGTGGTTCTACAGAAGAATCGTGAGAATAACATAGACGGAGCATGTGATCAATGAGGAAATTTTAAGGAAAATAGGAACAAAAAAGATAATTGTGCTTAGGCTTAGGAAGAGATCGTTGAAATCTCTGCGGAAAGAAGGCTTTGAGAAATTGACATCCACAAGGCATACTGAATGCAAGAATCACAGATGGAAACACAGAGTAACATTACCTAACAATGGCTGGGGAGAATTTAACTTAAACCTTCCTTTCAGCTACAAAATACTGGAAGAAGTGGAGAGCTATGACTGCCCTCGTCCTAAAGGGATACGACATATAAAAAAAGATAAAGATGATAATATGGGGACTTTGTTGGACTATCAAACGAAAACAAGTTACTTAAAACTACATCCGCTCTTTACATCCAGTCTTTACAGTATTATCAGTTATTTCAATAAAACCTTCAAAATTTCCACAGATATCAAATTTATGTCATTTTGGGTTTTTTTTTCCTTATTTTCCTTTAGTTTATATTTTCTTTGTTGTCTTTTCTTGATTTTTACTCTTCCATGTGACAACGATCCTTGCTACAATTATTAGGTTTTTCTTCCACAATGTTTAAGCAACAAAAAAGTACAACAACCGCAACCACCTAACAGATTATATTCTCTTCAAAAATGGCGAACGAGCTAGTCTTTTGATCTGAATAGGGTGATTCGATTGAATTTCAATATCCCAGAGCATTTCAGATTATTATTCTCTATGGCGAATTCTAGAACAAATCACGGTGAATCCTTTCTCCCATCTATGTCTATTTTCGTTCTCTGTTTTAACAGGGTACATTATTCATGTATAATATGACTGAAAACAAGTTTCTCTCTTTCTCTCTCTCTCTCTCTCTCTCTCTCTATATATATATATATATATATATATATATATATATATATTTTATATATATATATATATATATATATATATATATATATATATATATATATATATATATATCAGTAAAGCTGGGTGATAATCCGAAGAAATAGTATGTGAGAAAAATTTCGACATATTTAACCGATGAACCGGCATCATCAGAGAAATATCTTGTAAAATAAAATTAGTTTTCTGCTAAAGTTTTTCGACTAGTCCTATCTATCTACCTATCTCTCGCTCTCTCTCTCCCTCTCTCTCTCTCTCTCTCTCTATATATATATATATATATATATATATATATATATATATGTGCAAGTGCTTGTGTTTGAAATGTCTTTATATATATATATATATATATATATATATATATATATATATATATATATATATATATATATATAATGGGAATAAGTAATTCTAAAAAGATTTTACTTATGGTTTCACATCGAAAATGCTCAATGCCACACATCGTGTAGGAGCTAAATTTTATAAACTAATAAAAATGGCTTCTTTTTCCATCTTGGCCGATTGAGCTACCATCCTCCCGTGCGAGATTGGTCGATGTTATTACCGACTATGAATTTTGCCGTCTTGAACTGGCGTGGGTGGATGAAGGTGCTATTTCCGATCACAGCCACCGACCGTCTGAAGACTGCTCGCTGCGAATGAAACTGATCGTCATGGTCGGTCGCTGCTTTTCCAGAATTTAGTTATATATATATATATATATATATATATATATATATATATATATATAGCTGATTCCGCTACCTTGATTTCAACCTTTTGGTATCTTCGGTCAATTTCTTTCCTGGTTTAATTCAACTCTGATCATCAACTTAATTTCCTTATTATATATATATATATATATATATATATATATATATATATATATATATTCCACAATATTCTAGAATTGTTATTCGTCCATGCATTGAATATTGCTATCAAAATTGCCATGCTTTTGGAGGTATTTGATAAAATCCAACGGTGACTCGGCAATGTCATCTGTGTTTCATGCAATACACACACACAAACACACACACACATACACACACACATATATATATATATATATATATATATATATATATATATATATATATATATAATTTCATTTTTTTTAATAATAATTTAGCGTTTTCACTTGCGCATAATTACAAATCTCCTCCATACCTCAGTACACTCCTTAGTATCCTAACCTTTGCAGTAATTTTTTTGTTTGAACGAACCCCATTCTTCCCTGCATTACCAGTTCTTCCAAATTTTTTTTTTTTTTCAAAATACTCCTACGACGATGAGCACAACTCTTCATGTTCCACAATTATTTCAGTTCTCTTGTAAGGCTCAGGTGTTTGTCCAGCTTTTCATATTCATTTTATTTTTCTCTGTGGTCTTCGAAGACAACAAAAACCAAAACCTGACGACTCTTCTTTATGATCACGATATCTGGCCTTCTAGACTGTAAGATCGTACGTTTCCTATGAATTTCCTTGCTCGAGAGAATGTTATGATTTTTTAAAGACAATATTTGATATTTACGTACATTTGTTTCTATGATCAAATCCTTGCCGTTTGCACAATAGACCACTCTTCGTATCCGAACATGCCTACATTTGACCTCTTTCTGGGCCAATCTGACACATCATATCTTTTTGTGCAGGGGTCGGCAACTCATTCGACCCCGCGGGCCGGATCGTGTTATAATGACGGTTCGCGAGCCGGGCGAAGGCCATGAATGAAAAATTAAGGAAAATTACATATGCAGACCCCTGTCAACCTAAATATTTAAAACCATAATGAAAATAAACATTGAGAAATCAGAAAAACAAAAGAAAATCTAAAATTTAAAAAAACAACAACAAAAATTACTTTTCCTCAAGGAACGTCAAAATACTTCAAAGTAAAA